AAGAGCCAAAATCCTAGAAATGGAGCTGCAGTCTGGGTTGAAGATGTTACGAAAAGTGGATTCACAACCTGTGTGGTGGAGTTTGGAGACAGCTCGAACAGTACTAAGGATGCGGACTGGATTTCTGTTCAGACCACACCTTCCGGATCCCAAATAGGCACCAAATCACTGAGCTCTTGGACAACTGGTACAAAATGTGAGAGGATCGATTTCAAACATGTTAGATGTGTGCTAATTAGCGCTTCATAAGCACTAAAGGATTAACAGGGTATATGGTGAAATAATGAACATTGAGCGCAAAAGTCTGTGTAAGGAAAAGGGATCCAACCTTGCCGACGCATGCTTTCGAAAACAAAGGCAATTAACCTTTCGTTAAACTCGCATAATAACACGTTTGATAATATTTTTAAACACGCTAAAATTGCATCTAATCCCTCGATATTCTACTGATAGTAATCAGGAATTCCGAAAACTCTGCTGTTACATAATTAAAAGGTTGAGAAAAGTAGATGAGGACTGTTAGGGAATAACATCATGACCTCGCCGTTTCTTGGGCAAAGCTTAGGAAAAAGTGATAAAACAAAGAATTATGGATTAAAACTGATTTTGTAATATGCAACATGCAAACACTCCTGAAACTCTGCGAGCACTACAGGAAACAACACGAGATTCATAGGAAATCGAATATCAACAAGACTGACCAGAGATTTGTGAGTACTGCGTTATGCGATAAAATGAGGGAGTAAAAGTATCTAGCATCTCGTGATTGGAATAAATCGTAAATCGAAAGGGAGTCAATAGCCTTCGCTTTAAATCAGTTGGGTAAGTCCAACAATAGCTATGACATGAACCCTTTTAATCCAAAAACTCGTTTTTCTATCTTAGAGGCACAAATCCCGCATAATATATAGTGGAAAAGGACCAATGATTAGGAGCTTGCCTTTTGTCCCGCTTTGTGAAAATATCGTACATCATTTCCTCTCCTTTCAAACAAATGAGGTGAAAGATATTGAGGGGGACTCTTAAACTTCAGAAGTGGGGTAGATTAAGGGGGGAGGGTGGGGGAGGGAAGAGGGTAGAAGTGTCCATGTTCGTGTCCAGAGTAAAAATAAAATATAACCGAACTGGCATAGCTTAGTTAGAACGACTGCGATCGTGGCTAGCTCACCATCTTCATACCAATATGAATTCCATCTTAATGATTCTAATGTCCATACAAAGGATACATTCAGAATCCTAGGGGTGGTCCTAGATAGCAAATTAACATTTAAAGCACATAAAGCAACAGCTGAATAAGGGATGAGCAAAGGCTTCAGCTTTGCGGAGAATACGTAAGTTTATTTCTAAGGACGTGTTAGTTCGTTTATACGAGGCCTATGTTCTCCTTCATTTTGAGTACTCTAGTCCCCATTTACTGGGAGTAGGTAACGCGGAGACTGCTAGAATAGAGACAACTAATTACTTTACATTAAGAACTATATTAGGTTTCTCGAACTCTGTGTCATTCGACTTCCTCCTCAAGTTGGCCGACAATAAGTCCTTGGAGAATCGTAGGCAATTCCAATCGTTAGTTTTGTTATATAAGTGCTTGTATGATAAGGGGGCTCCTTATATAAGTTATTTTTTTTAATTCAATTTTAGAAATGTACCGTATAGTTTACGTGGGCTCAGTACAAGGCTAGATTTACCTCCTTTTAATCTTGAGTTTTTACATCGGTCATTTTCATTTTTAGCTAGAAAACTTTGGAATGCGCTACCCCCTAAACTCAAAGATTCTCCAGATATTGTTTCATTCAAGCGTTCTCTTAAAGCCCACATGGCTTAGCGGTAGTGATTGTAAATATTGTTATTGTTAATATTGTTAATATTGCTAATTTTTGTTGATAGCTATTGTCTATGATCTTCGATCCTATATTTATAGTTATATAATAGATCTACTTATTATTCTGTATTCTTACAGAAATTATGTTTTCTTTCTAATTGTACATACACGTGCACGTTTTAACGAGAACTTCTGTACTCCTAAGTGTCACGTGTTTAAATAAAGGATTGATTGATTGGTTGACCATGGTGATCTCCAGTAATCGCAGTAAAGCAAGCGTCAGAAATTACATCGTCCGCCCTTGGAGTAAACTGAGCTTAGAGACTTTTCTGATGCTCTTTCCCGTGGGTCGAGTGAAATTAAAGATAATATCAGTCACAGCAGTCGAGTTATACTGCGCTGTTATTCCGAGCAATCTTCATGTTCCTGTGACTTCGGCCGTCGTTCATTCATAAAGCACACGCCTTGAGCAGTTTGTTTTGCAACTATCACGTGAAAAAAACTTGTGTGTTTTTATGAGTCACAATTGGGACGGATTTGACTGAACATTTATCTTTCAGATTTCGTAGTAAAACTGAAAAACTCCACTCAAGTAGCGGCTAGAGCACTCAAGAGGTAGAGTGAAATAATCTACTATGTCTCATGTTTTTCCCTACACTTTCGTCCTCTTAAAGACAGAACAGGGCACAGTCAAGACCTCTCTCAGTATTTGTTAAATATGTACCAACACTCCCACTGATGGATCAAAATGAAATGGTAAGGGCTGTTGATAGCTTTCCCCTCACCCCTTCAACTTCCTCACCCCTCCCTTCCTAATCCCCCCTCCCCAACTACGAACAACGTGTTAAGTATCATTCTTTAGCATCCTGTGATTAAAATTGCCCTCACGAAATGGACAAGTCCTCGCAGTCAAAGATGATTGACATAAGGATCTTTTATGAGAGTATGTACTTTCCAGCTCTCGGTTTCAAGGCCGGTAAGGAGAATATGACCACTACCACACTAGGTCTATTTGCTTGTAAGAAGGTCTCCTTCCAGTATCCTTTCTCTGACGGACAGCAGTTCATAATTGATAATTAATAATTTGTTACCATTATTAATACTATCATTGGTAGGGTTGTTTCCAATGAAGGTTTAAATGTGTTTCATTGTATTTCCCTCACTCCTTAGTCTGAGGGGTATCGGAAACACCTTAAAATGGGCAAAAACTTTTCCACTTATGTTTCAGCGTTTTCCATCTCCTCCTACTATTTTCGTGAATGTACTTTCCAGTGAATGTGAGCGTTTTCCATCTCCTCCTACTAGTTTCGTGAATGTACTTTCCGTGAATATACTTTACGTTGTTCTCAACAGATTTCAGGATGCCTTATGGCCTTATGGGTCGAGGACTTGAAGTAAACAGATTTAAGATTTGCTTGAGGGAAGCCAAGATTTTCGATGGTCCACACAAGAACCTAAAATTGGTAAGTGACCGCTAGTTTTATAAGGTGCTGTCCATAGAAAATTTATTGACAAAAGTATGCAACCTTTCTTGGAGAAGAGAAATCCCACCTCTCCTTTTAGTTTTTTATTTATTTAGTTAGTTATTTTTGAAAGAGATTAGAGAAATTCGGTTGAGCTTAATTCTGAAAAAAAATGTTATCATCCACAGAAAAACGCTTAAATATTCTATGTTTGTCAAAGTAACTATGGAAGCTTTTATTTTATCGCCAGAATTGGATAGCTTTCAACAACATCAACGTCCACAACTTTACCATGATCAACAGTCTGTTATTTTCTAGCACAAACTCGCCATCTCCGCAGAGTAATTACGCTCTTTGTCAAGTAAGTCATTTTTATCTGAATATTTTGTTCCTTCTTTTATCGCTTCATTTTTTTAAAAAGTTCTGTCTGCGTTTGACCTGCAGCCGGTTTAAAGTTAAATGCCCTCGATTTCTCTTCCCCCATTCTGTTTCTCTTAATTCAAATTTCTTATATACTTAGCCCTCTTTGTTAGTTACTTATTTTTTTTCTCTATAATACAGACTATGAACCTTACAGAGCCTTTCTGTTCTCCACCGGTTGTTTTGGTGACTGCAAAGCGTAGTACTAAAATTAACAATTCTCTTCAATCCGGGTCCCAGTGCAATGCTATCACTACCTGGGTGGCGGTTAGTAATGTGTTCTAATATTGGTTTAGTTCCTTAAAGAAAAAAATTGGACTATTAGCAATGTTACTATAATGTAATGGTTTCTTCTTTTTTTTGTTTTTATTTAGCACACATCTAAAACTAAAGCTCGGATTTGTGTCAAAACATTCAACAGCGATTCCAACAATAAGGATGTCATCATCGCGGATGTTGACTGGAGGTGAGCAAAGAAATTCATGATTATTTTTGTGTCAATTTGAGAAAGGCTAAATTTTCATTGTTCCTGAAAAGCGACTAACTTGTAAAACTTTGTAGTTCGTCAGTCAAAATGTAACTTCGTAGAGCGTTGTTGTAATTTTTAACTTAGGACTTTGTCCTCCTATCTTTGGATGCAGCTGTTGGATGTCCTTTTTCCAAATTAACCACCTTCTTTAAGCATTTGAAAAATGAGATAGGAGTTGCAAATGAATTATCTACGAGGGTAAGCTCATTAACTTGTCGGACACCTTTTTTCACGTTTCCACGTTTTTCTCGCAGACTTGGACCCTTGTGTTGACGTCGTTTGCCATTATCACTGTCTGTGCAAAGCATTTGGGACCTTATGATGCGAGTTGCATCTCTGTGGAGAGCTGTCCATCATACCAAGAACCTATCTGCTCATCAAACGGCTCAACATATGATAACGAGTGTCTGTTTCGGCAGGAGATGTGTGTTCTTCGACCTAACTACACTGTACAGCACCCTGGTTGCTGTACAGAGTTTACCATCATTCTCTTTTTCGAAAGTGAATTTTATGTTGGGGTGCCGTGAATTAATGTAATCAAAAAATGACATAGCATCCTGTTCATTGTGGAAGACACAGAGGGTGTCGTCAACATAACGCCTATAAAGTAGAAGGCTAGTCGAATGGTTAAAATTATTTAGCCACGTTTCCTTGTAGAAACCAAGATAAAGATTAGCTAGGATGGGTGCTAACGGAGAACTCATCAACTTGATTATAAATTTTCCATTAAAAAGAAAATGAGTCTCAACTGTAGCGAATGAAAACAGTTTCTTGAGGTAGGATTTTTTGATCGAAAGTTTAGGGTCATGCTTGAAAATAAGATCAACAGCAATATCGATAGTTTCATTTAACGGAATATTGGTAAAAAGACTTGCGACATCAAAGGAAATTGGAAACTTGTTGTTAAGATCGAAACTCCTGAGCTCTTCAACAAAAGAGAATGAATCCGTGACCGAATACTTGTTAGGTAAAAGTGGAGCCTACAAAATCAACAACACCTCTTCCGGCCTTCAAAACGATCTTAAGAAACTTTCCGACACTTTAAAACGTACTTCTTTTCCTTCGCATATTATTGAAAGAACTTTCAAGCGGTATCTTGACGGGTCCTCCTCTCAAAATAGCCGGAATATTGGTAAAAAGACTTTCGAAATCAAAGGAAATGGGAAACTTGTTGTTAAGATCGAAACTCCTGAGCTCTTCAACAAAAGAGAATAAATCTGTGACCGAATACTTGTTAGGTAAAAGTGGAGCCTACAAATGACAATACTACACGTTACTTTAAACTCCATTTTGACTGCTGTTACTGTGAAATAGCGAACCTGAAACTTCGAAAACTCACTAAGCGCTTTTGAAAATCGGACCTAAATATCAAACTAGTTTTCACTTCTTTCAAAATTAAAAACATGTTCAGTGTTAAAGATCGTAATCATAATGCTCTAAAATCCATGGTAGTTTATCAATTTTCTTGTGCGGGATGTAATTCCCCTTATATTGGCGAAACTAGTCGCCACTTGTCTACTAGTATAAAGGAGCACACGGAAAGCGATAAAAACTCGCATAATTTTAAGCATTTATATATTTCAACGCATCTCCTTCTTGTAAGAACAAGTCCTCTCTTTCTTGCTTTAGTATTCTGGATTCTGCTAACAACTCAATTGATTTAAAACTCAAACCACTCAAGTAGAGGCTAGAGCACTTAAGAGGTGGAGGGAAATACTCTACTATGTCTCGTGTTTTTCCGTACAATTTCGTGCCCTTCACAACAGAACAGAGCACAGTCAAGACTTCTCTATTTGTGAAATAACTACCGACACTCCCACTGATGGATCTAAATGAAATGGCAAGGGCTGCTGATAGCTTCCCCCTCACCCTCTCAACTTCCTCACCTCTCCCCTCCTAATTCCCTCTCCCCAACTACGATCAAGGTGTTAAATATCATTCTTTAGCCTCCCTGGTTAAACTTGCCCTCACGAAATGGACAAGTCATTGTAGTCACCGATGATTGACATAAGGATATTTATGAGAATATATACTTTACACCGGAAGAATACACTTCTTATTCTGAGCAAGATGTCGCGCCAGCGCCAAAGTTCAGTCCGCTTGCACATTGCTTTCATCGTTTTTATGTTAGTTCCTCCAGCATGTAAAGGTATGTTGATATGTTTTTCCTTTATAAAGCCACAGTATAACTAAAGTTGAATTACTGATGTGATATAAATATCTCGTTTGTGGTAATAAAAACCTGGGTTAAATGGTAAACAAAGAGAAAGAGAAATGGGGGAGGGACGCAAGGAGAAGGAATGGAACATTTAACCTGATCGAAAAATAGCGTGTACATCGTAATTCTCGTGTAACTGCCAAGAGCAAGAAGTATAATTTCAAAGGTTTTGATTTTGATTTATTTCGCAACAGCTCTCGGTTTCAAGGCCGGAAAGGAGAATATCACCACTGCCAAACCAGGTCTATTTGCTTGTAAGAAGATCTCCTTCCAGTATCCTTTTCTAGCGGACAGCGGGTAAAGGTCTTTGCCTCCGTTGGCCACACAGAGAAGAGACAAAATATTAGAAATGGAGCTGCAGTCTGGGTTGAAGATGTTACGAAGAGTGGATTTACAGCCTGTGTGGTGGAGTTTGGAGACAGCTCTAACGGTACTAAGGAAGTGGACTGGATTGCTGTCAAGACCGCACCTTCTGGATCCCAAATAGGCACCAAATCGCTGAGCTCTTGGACAACTGGTACGGAATGTGAGAGGATCGATCTCAAACAGGTTAGATGTGAGCTAATTAGCACCTCATAGGCGCTGATGAATAAACAGGGTATGTGATTAAGAGCAAAAGTCTGTGCTAGGAAAAGGGATCCGACCTTACCGACACGTGCTTTTAAAGACAAAGACACTTAACCTTTGATTAAACTCCCAGCATAACACGTCTGACAATCTTTTCAAACACGCTAAAGTTGCACCTAATCCTTCGACATTTGTTATCAACGATATGAGCTTTTCTTTTTAATCTCCAATATCTTGCCGTTTTTTTTATCCCATAGTCTCACTGTACCCTCTTTAGTTCATAATTGATAATTAATAATTTGTTACCATTATTAATAGTATCATGGGTAGGGTTGTTTCCAATGAAGGCTTAAATGTGGTTCATTGTATTTCCCTCAATCCTTAATTAAATAAGTGTATCGGCAAGGCCTTAAAATGGATAAAAACTTGCCCACTTATATTTCAGCGTTTTCCATCTCCTCCAACTATTTTCGTGACGGCCAATCACGGTGTTATCAACAGAACTCAGGATGCCATGGCCTTGTGGGTCGAGGAAGTGAAAGTAAACAGCTTTAAGATTTGCTTGAGGGAAGCGAAGATTTTCGGCGGTCCACACACGAACCTAAAAGTAGTAAGTGATCGCGAGTTTTAAAAGGTGCTGTGCATGGAAAATTTATTGACTAAAGTATGAAACATTTCTTTGAGAAGAAAAATCCCACCTCTCATTTTTGTTTTTGATTTTGTTTTTTTTTTAAGAGATGAGAAAAACTCAGTTGCGCTTAATTCTGAAAAAAAAATTATCATCGACAGAAAAACGCTTAAATACTGTTTGTCAAAGTAACTATGGAAGTTTTTATTTGATCGACAGAATTGGATAGCTTTCAACAACATCATCGTGGACAACTTTACCTTGATCAGCAGTTTGTTAATTTGCTGCACAAACTCGCCATCTCCGCAGCATAATTACGCCTTTTGTCAAGTAGGTAATTTTTATTTGAATCTCTTGTTCCTTCTTTTATCGCTTCATTTTTTAGTAAGTTTTGTCTGCGTTTCACCTGCAGCCGGTTTAAAGTTAAGTACCCTCGATTTCTCTTCCCCCATTCTGTTTTTCTTCTTTTATATTTCTCATACTTAACCCCCCCTCCCCCCTCCCTCAGGAAAGGGTTGCCTTAGAGCCGTTCTACTGCTGTTCACACTTGTTCTAACTAGTGAGCAAATCTTCGTCATTTACTTATATTTTTCTCTGTAATTCAGTATATAAACTTCACAGAGCCTTTCTACGCTCCACCGGTTGTTTTGGTGACTGCAAAGCGTAGTACTAAATTTAATAATTCTCTTCAATCCGGGTCCCAATGCAATGCTGTCACTGCCTGGGTGGAGGTTAGTAATATGTTCTAATATTGGTTTAGCTCCTCGATGAAATAATGGGACTCTTAGCTATGTTACTATGTTGAAATGAAATCTTCTTATTTTTGCTTTCATTTAGCACACATCTAAAACTGAAGCTCAGATTTGTATCAAAACATTTAACAGCGATTCCAACAATAAGGATGTCATCACCATGGATTACATGGTGACTGGAGGTGAGCAAAAAAATTCATGATTATTTTTGTTCCAATCTGAGAAAGGCTAAATTTTCATTGTTTCTGAAAAACGACATACTTGTACAACGTTGCAGTTCGTCAGTCAAAATGCAATTTCGTAGAGTGTTGTTGTAATTTTTAACTTAGGGTTTTGTCATCCTGTTTTTGGATACAACTGTTGGAAGTCTTTTCTCTGAATTAGCGACTTTCTTTGAGCATTTGAAATGTGAGATGGGAGTTGCAAATAAATTTTCTAGGATGGTAAGCTAGTTAACTTGCCGGACATCTTCTTTCACGTTTCCATGATTTTCTCGCAGACTTGGAACCTTGTATTGACGTCGTTTGCCATTATCACTGTCTGTGCAAAGCATTTGGGCCTTATGATGCTAGATGCGTTTCTGTGGAGAGCTGTCCATCATACCAAGAACCTATCTGCTCATCAAACGGCTCAACATACGATAACGAGTGTCTGTTTCGGCAGGAGATGTGTGTTCTTCGACTTAACTACACTGTACAACACCCTGGTAGCTGTGAAGGTTAGTTACATTTGGGTTAAAACTCTTTATCATCCAATTAAAAAACAGACAAAATTGACCGCATTAATTGTTTTATTTTATATCTCAGCAGGTGCCTACAGGAATGTAGATTACTTTATGTCAATTGAAAGAGTACAAAATGGAGTTTTCAGAAAAAAAATATTTCAAGATTTGATCCCAGAAGATATCAGTAATACGTTCTTAAATGATAACGGCCTTATGGACGATACACTTTCGGGTTGCTAAGATCTTGGTACTATAAATGGTTGAGAGTTCCATTACAACTTTAAAGTAGAAGACAGAATATTATTCGTAGCCAAATGGTCTTGATTTATTTTTCTAGGATTTCCTTTTCAACGCGGTCGTCGTCACATGCCGCACATCCCATCGCTTGGATATTCTCATTGCGAAGTCATTCGCCTCAGGCCGTTTGTGTTCTATCCTGATAAGGCCCTCGAAGCTCAGATCACAGTCAATCGTATTGACACCAGTGACAAGTCCTACGTACACGATGCCGCCGTGTCCTGGGTTGAAAATGTCAATTACGATAGATTCACCGCATGTGTGATGGCAGCTGGTTACAACGAAAGACTCTCGAACGCTAATGTGACAGTTGATTGGATGGCTTACCAGGGGGCACCTGTGGGTGGAGTTGCTGATGAAGTGCGGTTATCTCAATGGTGGACTGGAACGACTTGTAAATCTGTCAGTTTTCCCTCCGTTAGTAGAATAAGCTGTCTCGTTGCAAATTGTTTGAAAGCGAAGAAAAGTGTCTTTACAAATTGAAGCTGTGGTCAGTTCAAAGTAACGAACTAGCATTATCAGTCATTAAATATCCTCAAAAGGTTTTTTATTTATACCAAAATGTTTGTTTATAACAAACTATATATTGGAGGTCTTTGTACGTGACTAGCTTTATTTCCTTTCCGGTATTATATTCCGGTATTATATTCGAGGTGTGAGATTGAAATAAGGAGATGAAGTGGTGTAACTTCAGAGTTTTAGAAGCTAACATGCATTACCTTTTAAAAGGGAAAGTTTTCTGTGATGCCATCCGTATTCGTAACGGCTGCCCATCATCATGCTGGCTTGAGACGTGACGCTGCAAGTGTTTGGGTTGAAGATATCACGCAATCCTCATTCAAAGTCTGCTTAAGGGAACTTCAGGATTATGCAGGATCTCACGAAGATGTTCACGTTGTAAGTACAAAGTCCTCTTACTTTCAGTTATTATCTCCACAGAAGTACATCATTGATTTGTTTGTTGTTGTTGTTGTTTCTCTTTTTTGTTAGTCTTTTTCTTTATAGATTATAGGTTCCCCTATAACGCTACGTTTTAGCGAGGGATCTTACTTTTCAGAGACAAAAATAAATCATTAATGCTTCATGCTTATTCATACTATGTAGTAATGACGAATTAGTATTATTTCTTTTTTCATATGTCCAGAATTGGTTGGCATTCTCAGTTCTGCACAAGCCTCTTTTCTCTGAACACAATTCAATTTATTTTGCTAATTCTCAGTCGCCATCTGTTGATCACAACGGTGCCTATTGCAAGGTAAAAGTGCATTAAACAGAGCTCTTCCAATTTCAGTGCATCATTTTTTACCTCTAAAAATCTTAGTGACAACGATACCTCTTAATTAGAAATAAACTTGTATCAAGGAATCTAAAATAATTGTAGTGAGTTTTCTTTGAAATACTTTAGATATAAAATCAGATTTTACACTAATCCTGTTTTATCTTAACCCAGCTTTGAAGAACCCGGTCTCGATCAAGTTGTTTTAGGCTATGTGTTTTGTGTTAGTTTGTTATCGTCGAACAGGATTTAAGTTCTCCCTCCTTCGCGACGTTAATTTTTAAACGCACTCGATTTTCTTTTTACATAGGATGTATCCTTTACTCAGACGTACAACAGCACCCCAAATGTGTTCGTCTCCACAAATCATTCAACCAGTGGTGGAAATTTGCAGTCCATACGTAATGGAATAACAGCTTGGGTTGAGGTACATCTACTTATTTTTGCGACCACTCGAGATCTTAAAATGAAACTTTTTTCTCCTTTTTTCCTCTATCCTTTTGTCCCGGGAAATCTGCTATCTAAGCTTTCAGCTACTGCTGAGTTTCAGCAGATGTTATTGATCCTTCCTTTCAAGTTGCCGTTCTTTGCACTCTTGGCTTTTTTTGTTTTTTTGTTTTTTTTTTTTATGTTATACATTTTTTTTCAGTCTTTAGCTTTGCTACATGCAATGGATATTTTTCTCTCATTTTTTCTACATTTTATCTCTTACCATATTTTACTGAATTCAATGTGCCTAATTTTTTACGTTATCATTGTCATTATTTTTTTTTTCCTAGTACATCAATGCGACAGGATTCAGAGTTTGTGTAAATGAGTTGTACGAGGCAAAGTATGACCCACTTTCAGTGTCATACACTGTTGTCTCAGGCGAGTATGCAATTGGGTCTAGGGTACTGAGGGATGTTTCATCACACCAGATAATATTTTATCTAAAAATAAATTAAGTAGTTAAGAAAAATATTTGGGCTTTGAAAGAAATTTTTCTTTTGTTTCGTTTTGTTTTGCCTTTTTCTTTGCCCTGTTATTTGCCATGAAAACTTGTACTACCGTTTTTGGCAAACAGACGTGGACTAAAGTCAACTAATTGGTAGCAGCTTACATTTTCCCACGATTACACCGCTAAACGCGTGTTGACTTTGATTTTTAATCTGTTTTTTCACGTAGATATATGCGAACCAGGGTGGAGTTACTTCGACGGATACTGCTACTTCGCAAGCCCTGCATGTGCATCATGGCTTACTGCTGAGTCTAACTGCTCTGCAATGGGCTCACAGTTGGTGACTGTCCACAACCAGAAAGAAAATGTATACGTTCAGCATCGACATAACGGAGAGAGATCCTGGATTGGACTGAACGATCGGAGCGTGGAAGGAACATTCGTTTGGACAAATAAGGAAATAAGCAGGTTTAGGTTCTGGGCTCCACAACAACCAAATGACTGGAGCAACCAAGACTGTGTACACACTCTTGGTGCGAAACATAGGTACGCTTGGAATGACGTGCCATGCAAGAATTGCTTCAATTTTACTTGTTTTACAGGTATTTGAATTGCTGGTTCGTTAATCATTAATTGATAAAAACCATCGAGGTGCTATTATAGTGCAACGTTTAATAACAGCATTAGTAAGGAGGTTAATATCTTTGTTTAACAACGCATTGCCGTTAAGCTAGAATCATTTTGTTCCAATAATGAAAGTTAATTGAGATTTTACACAAATTCGCCAATACAATGATATCCAATTCATGTTAGGCAAAGGTCTCTCCTTTTGACAGCCACATTATTTTTACATTTTTCAGTATGATATTTTTTTTTTCAGCATCGAACAAAAGAATAAAGGTACTTTATTTTCTTTGATTATCGTAGACTTTAACGAATGCAGGACAAGCACCCACAGCTGTGACGATAATGCAGAATGCAAGAATACCGTGGGTTCGTACACATGTACTTGTAAGGCTGGGCATTCTGGAGGTGGAAAATCATGCATAGGTAAAATGAACGAGCTTCTAGGCCGCAAGATTCAAACTAAGAGTTCTAACTTGTAACCTTCCTGGCAAATCTCGACACTAACTCCTCCCGGTTAGCTCAATGGGTTAGAGCGCCGGACTGTTGAGTGGGTCGAGGGCTCGAGCCCCGGCCGGACCGACACTCAAGGTCTTAAAATAACTAATGAGAATGTGCTTCCTTTCTATAATATAAAAAAATAGATAGACATTCTAGTCTTCTCGGATAAGGGCGAATAAACTGTAGGTCCTGTCTCCTTGTTTTATTAATTAGTTAGTTTGGTCAGGCAGGGGACGTTAAAGAACCCACTGTGATATGGTCTGGCCCGTTTACTGGCAATTGGGGGGGAGTCTAGCCTTTTTATTGTTAACGCGGCATCCACTCTAATTGGCTAAGCTGTAATGGTTTCCCTGTCTGAGTTAATTAGGCGCAGCTAAATAAATAATGTTAAAGAAACTACCTAAAGAAAAATGTGTTTTTTTTTCTAACATGTCACGGTACCATCTTACTCATAAGGGAGTTTAAGCAAATCACTACGGCTGGCGTTGCTACGGCTACCGGAAGTGAAATTGTCCAGAAACGAGTCATTGCGCATGTCAGGGGTTCCCATCCAGCCGTAGCGGGAAATCCTTCTACGCGAGTGGGAAGGTTTCGGCGTAGTCTGTGGTACGTGAACTTATCTCGCTTCTTTCTTCGCTTTATACATTCTCCTGAGCAATTTTAACTATTGAAATACACTTAACATCTTTAAAAATAGCTTATCGGGAATATTTATCAAGCTTGCTGTCCCTTACCGAGTGAATCTGCCTTTATTTTTGCCGCCGGGTTTGTCGAAGGATCGAAGCAGTGTGCACATGGAGAACGCAGCGAACGCAAAGTGAAATGCGTAGGTAGAAAGTCTAACTTTTCCTTTTCAAACCTCAAAGACTACTTGAAATTCAAATAGCTGAAGCCAAGGAATGACGAGGGTTATGAGGGACCGTGTAGAAACTTTGCTTTGGTGTTTATAAGCTCCAAACTGGCAATTTTACAACACGTAAGCTCAAATATTTTAATTCATTCATTCACTGTGCACAGGATCGCTTACAATTTTTTTTTCCAAACGTTGGAATCCCTCGTCCCTTTCAACGAAGTCATTTTGAGTTTTTAGACGTGCAATAAACTACCGCGAAGACGCTTAATTTATTGGTTTTACACTTCTCAGCCGTACTAGGTTTGTAGTTCGCGTTGCGTAAGGTTGAATTTTGGCGGGCTACGGCGACGTACTCTCCCCAAGCCTCGTCAACCACGATAGCCGTAGCAGCGCCAGCCGTAGTGATTTGCTTAAACTCCCTATAATCTTTAAAGATACGGCCTCGTACCATAAAACCTGAGATCTAGCTTCAAAAACTCTTCTTGCTATGAACTCCGTCAAACACGAGAAGAAAAAATTCCATTTTTGTACACGCCTATATATCGTTCTCTATTTACCCTGTAGTTATCAGATCTCTGACCTGATATCTTTCTGTTTCCCACAAGGGCTTGGTTATGTATATTGATGACTTTTATACTTTCCTCCTAGATATAGATGAGTGCTCGTCAAACTCTCACAGCTGTGCATTGGGTCCTATACCTGCACGTGCAAAGCTGGATACTCGGGAAATGGGAAAACTTGTAATGGTTAGTAATTTTCATGGGCGTCAAAGTGAATGTACTCAAATGTCACATGTTTGGAAGTTGCAATCAGCATGAGGCAAACCAACTGGTTGTTGATAAGCATGATCCAATGGTTGAGTTCAGAAATTTTTCAAATCCAGAAAGTGGTCAGAGCGCAGCCCAAACTCGAGAACTCCAAATAATAAGAGAGACAAGCTCACTGCACGGTCACACCGTTGAAATTGAATTATGTGACTCCTTATATGTAATCTGGACCAATTCTTGCGAAAAACTGGTTGTTTTGGTGACTGCAAAGCGTAGTACTAAATTTAACAATTCTCCTCAATCCGGGTCCCAATGCAATGCTGAATTATGTGACTCCTTATATGTAATCTGGACCAATTCTTGCGAAAACTCGATGGACAGCGCCGATCTAATACACGAGAGGGCTATTACGTTACGGTATGAATTAAAACAATCCCCTAAAATTGATAGTAATAAGTACTCGTAGGCCTTTCACTCCTTTGCCTTCCGTTTCCTTGTAAGTGGTTTAAAATGGGGAAAGACGACAATTGTAGTGAATTGCCTCAAATTGGAAAACGTACGCTAGTGACAGTATCATAGCGTGCACTTACTCACGCAACATTAATGTCGCCAGATTTTCTTGTTTCGTTGTGCCCACTATTTTACGAAAAATTCTTCAGTTACATTAAAGTAATTTGTAACGTGAGTGAAAACTACGTCTTACGGCTTCGTAAGAAAATTTCAAACGTTACCGAACTTAAAATGGTTGAGTTAAAGATCCTGAATACTTTAATTAGGCTGCGAAAGCAACCTGGATGTCACTATCCAAGTTTAAGCGCTTTCCTCATTGAGGAATAGGCCTACCGTGTACTCTAATCCGAATAACTTAGCTTGTTTTTCGACGAAGTCAATTTTTTTTTATAAAAAACTTCTGTTCTGCCGGATATATATCTAAATTCCAGCTTAGAGTATCTTTTTGATCGGAATTCAATTTCGATGAAACTTTCCAAAAACAAGGACGTTGCTATCCTTTGTAGTTCTTGACGGGTAAATTAGGCCCATATTATATGACTGTAAATGATTAGGTCAAGTCTAACCTACATAATAGATAAAACCTGGAAAAATTGATAAAGTACTTTCTAATGTGAAACAAATATCTTGAGGTGCATGTTTAGATAAATCCGGCACATATGAGCGGCGCCTGAGTTTCTTTTTCTGTTCTCGTCGTCGTTGCTGTTGTTATTTCTGTTGAGTAAATCCCGCCGAAAACATTAATTAGATTATTTGTCTGTTGATGTCTCTCAGATGTTGACGAGTGTACCAGTGGTGCAAACATCTGCCACAGTTTGGCTTCATGTATAAACACCGTTGGATCCTACTCGTGTTCGTGCAATCACCCGTATGGTGGAAACGGAAAGAATTGTAATCTGGTATCAGGTAAGCGGAGGGGGCGGGTTTTCCTTGCCTTAAATCCCGCTTCCTATCTTAATGTGGAATCCAGCTATTTTCGCTTTAACACGTTTCATGTAGAATGAAGGAATGTGCGAGGATACTGCGTCAGAAAAATGACAACAACTTGAAGAAGATTGAATGTCACACCACCGAACAATTTACAACTCCCTACAATTATATTTTTGTTCGATAGCGGAAAGAATTCTCGTTAAGCGTGGTTCGCATGAGGCAATTTAAATGAAACTTTCCTAATGATCTAAAATGCTGACTAGAACACTCTTACTCAGCAAGGCAAAAAGAAAGAGTCAAATATAAAAGAGATCTGAACACTGGATAGTGTGAAACCAATCAGAAAAAAAAAAAAGGTCTGAATTATATGTACAAAATAAAGACCTTTAAAACCTTTGCTTTATAATATGAAACGATGGAATATATCTAATGCGGCTTGAATTCCTATTTCAGAAAGTAAGTTATTTTAAACCAAAAAAAAAGCTCGATATAAATGAGAGAAGAACAAGAATGGCCGTTGTCATAAAAGTTTCAGAGAGAATTTTTGTTTGAGACAAGGCCATAGCAACGGAACTGCTCTACTTAGTATGATGAATGATACATTGTTTGCAATGACAACTAACTAAGACGGACGCTACGTGTATTATAACTGTGGGGGAAACATGACATGGATCCAGGTCTGTGGGTTAGAGATCTCGGTGTGTAGTTTGATAGTCAGTATAATACGTATATGAAGGCTGATAGTTTCTAAAGAAACTGTTTGGGGCTGCGTCGGTGGGGGCAACGAAATAATTTGAATATATCAACAAAGTTGAAATGGTAAATTGGCCACCGTTACGTTTCGAGCGTCAGCCCTTCGTCGGAGTGAATAGAGGAGTTGTGGGTTGTGGGTGCTTTTAAAGGCAGAAAATGGAGCTACGTTATTGGTGGGAACATTGCAACGAGAAAAATACGAATAAATTAGTGGAATAAAAAGCGTTCGTTAATACCTGTGGGATTTAGACTGCCTGTTTGAAAGATGAGCTTTTGTCGTGTAGAATGATTAGGTAAATTAAAATGTCTAGCGAATGGTTTCGATGTGTCCTTGTGGCGGTAAAAGTGCCTTTTACCGTCACAATTGAAACTAAAATTAGAGAATTCCAATTAACAATTGGTTCATGCTTTAGCGTGCACTATCGAGTTATGGAGCACGCGCCTT